AGACATCAGGGAAGAGGTCTGTCAGACTTTTTTAGTCAGGAGGTAACATAGTGATGGAGTCAGGCATTCCTTTTAACAAGCCAGGCCCATTACAGAGAGCCTGCAAAAGTTTATTTTCCCATGCAGGGATCAACTGAGAATGGGCATCTTTCAAACAAGGTGCTCTTCCCTACTTTTGAACACTCTGCTGTGCTCGTTTATCCTTAGTCTGGTGCTTCTTTGTAGGCTTTTTCTCTAGTTGTTGAGGTGTTCATAGTCTTCCTCAAAGACAGAGCAACATCTCATAATACTCAGAAGAACCTTCCTGTATAGCTCTGCTTCACGCACTTCTGCTTCAAATGATGATGTGACTGCCTAGGGAGCTGCTACTGTGCTAGAGATCCATCACACAAAATTAGCTTGGCTCTTTTGCAACAGTACCTGAACAAAAACAGCATCAATTGCATACTTCTCTCTCTCCCCTTCTGTGTGATTTAGCCCAAACCACAATATATTATTTTGTTTTAATTGGATGTCAACTCTATTGGTGTGCTCAGTCATTCTGACCCAGGAATGCAGTTCAGATAGAATTAAGTAGGTAGAATATTAATGAGAATGTTAAGAATATTAATGAGCATGTATGTTTTTCAAACCCTTGTTTTCAGCTACAGAGATACATCTGACCATTTCCAAATACCGGAGGTGGCAAATATGAAACATCTTCACCTCCTTCATATAGCCTTTCATTTCCAACTAGCAGCATCAGTACTGCAAGCAAATTTTAGGCATGTAGCAATAAGAGGACAATACGACCCACAGTTGAGATATGTTATTTAGGTACGATTTGTAAGAGTCATGCTGAAATGCATTTAGTCAGGAACATTTTTAGCCATTTGGGGTCATTTCATACTCTCTGAATTTTTGTAACTAAACACTGTAAAGACCCATCAGATAAAGCCTTTGTGAGTATTAATCCAGATACAGAGCTTAAAAGACCTGGCACTTTCATCATGAGAAATCAGTGAGATGATCTCAATAGCACCATTAGCTTTCTGCCTATTTTTCAACTGTAATTGAATTGTAGTAGGAAATGTATCTTTCTTTAGCACAGATGTTTGAAAAAAAAAAATCTTAATTTTTATGCCTCTGTGCTCAAGTGCCCAGTCAAAGTACTAGTGCTTTCAAATGGCTCATCCATTGCCAAAGTAGCCTCAGATGGGCCCTAAAATGGAAGGAAATACCTGACTTCACAAAGGTCTTCAGGAAATGCAGATCCTTAACGTGATATATTGCACTATTGTGAAGACCATACCGTTTCCATCATGCTTACCTCTGTTAGGCACAGGAGTTGTGCACACACACTCGCTGAGCTGTATTCAGGTCACATACTTTGGTATCCAAAATAGACACAGGCACCTGTAGGTGAGAGAGCTGAGTGAATAAAATGACCCATTGCCCATCTGAGAAGCACTTTGGCTCTTTAAATATGCCAAAGAGAATATGCCTGCATTCAGATCAGCTGCTACGAGTGACCCACCTTGGCATTGTGATTATTTTTCATCAACTATTGAGGGAGCCTGGTAGCTCGTGATCTGAATTACCCACATCTCTCATACACAGACAACTAAATCACGATAGTTACACTAGGTTGAAGTCGTAATTCAAGCTTCAAAATATTTGATCCTGTAGGAGGGTGTTAATGATTTTAACATTTCTCATTCATACGTGGCACTTCAGAGAGTCAGGGGGAATGGTAATGCTCTGAGCATATGACTTTGAATTTCTTGTCAAAGCAGTGATTCTAAACTACCTGTAGAAGCAACCAGCACAGTGTCCAGCCTACCAGCCAAATAGATTTCAATAATTTATCTCTTCATCATAGCAAAGAGATTTTTATTTTTATACCTTCTTTGCATCCAGATTTGCGTGACTTCAGAAAAGGAACACGATGGCTTCATCAAAGTATACAGTGGGAAGAAGAAAGGCTTTGTCCCCATAGACGTCTTAGAAAACATCTGATTGCAACAGCCCGCTTGCTGCAGTAGGAGCCCTTTGTTGGCAATGCCTGTCTGCCTCATCTCACACCGTGTCAATCCAGATGGGCTGTCTTGCAGATGTTCAAGGAAACAGTGGGAAAACTGCAACTACAAGAAGAAAAAGACATTTAGACTGCCGCAGCAACACTAAGAAATAAGAAAAGTGGAATGATTGAAAGAAAATATAGTTAGAAACCTCTAGGGAAATGAGAGGCCCTTGGAAACTAATAGGAATAAGGTAAGAAAAAGAAGTCTGGGGTGATTTCTGGTGCAAGATGGCTATTGCAACCCTGATGGAAATGGACAGCTGTTCTAAAGGACTAAACTCAAGTCTCATGTCTTAGAAAACTGTTGGACTACTTTCTTGTTGGAGATGTGTGTTTGGGAGGGAGGGAAGAATACCAGTCAAACTGTCCTCATACTACAGCCCAATGCTTGTAGTAAAGTGTGGCTGTGGTTCTACAGCTCTGTCCCCTGTATCAACTGATCAGTTTAAGCGTTTATTCCTGATGTTAGTCTCATATCAAAGCAGTTTGGAGTCACCATGTGGACGTCAGTTCAAAAAAGTGCACTGTGCCCTGGAGGTCAGCAGCTTTCTCTTTCTGTGCAATCTTACCTTATGAAAGAGTAGCGACCTTGTATGTCCTTTGTTTTCTCTGTATACAAACAAAAGCTCTCAGTGTGTGCCAGGTGTGACGGCTGCTCTCATAGCTCCCAAAAATGGCCTGCCCTGAGATTCAAGAGCCTTCTTGGAAGTGTCCCTCTGTGTTTCCTGCATCCTTATCTGGTGAGGGAGAAAATGGGAAGAATGCTGAGAGAGAGCCACAGGCTTGAAACGTTTTGTATTTTTCTGTGTTTATTGCACTTATGAGATTTTATATATTAATCCTATTTATATATATATAAAAAAAAGACAGTTAACTAACCCCCTGGAAGACTGAAAACACTAGGAAAAGGACAGACTGCGCACAGAAGTGAAGATTGTACCTAAACCCAGAACTTGTGACAGTAAGGCACTGAGTGTCTTAGCATTGTGGTCACCCACCAAAGTTGTCGTCTTCATCTGCTAATAGTTCTGCAGATTCATCAGTAAATGCACTCACATGAGTACCTCCTTGGCATTAACAACTGTGAGCCTCCCATAAGCCTTCTCAGTCCCAGTGCAACTGCACAGACATGTCTGGTTTGTCCATGTAAGCCTCCATCTTCAAATATGTTTAGGGTATAAGATCTGGAGAGCAGTCTGTGGGACTTGTGGATTTTCACCAACTTATACAAGTCAGCCGGTGCCAATCGTGTTGCTGAGCAGGGGCCTTATGATGTTTCAAAACAGTGAACCTAATTTCCAAGCATTTGATTGGATGTAATTGCACCAAATACACTTAAACAGCTTAGTATATATTATGACATAGAGATTAAGTCCTGTCCCAAAGCTCCCTGGTGAATTCACGCCTTATTTGACCAGCCTGAGATTGAGTGCCAGTCTTTAATACCACTGCAATTAGCCACAAATGGATGTCCTATATGCCAATGCTGCAAGAAGAAATCCAGATGCCGCCAGGTTAGTACACGCCTTTGCAAAGTTGACACTGTTTCTAAAAAGATGCTGTCCAGTCTGCTTCCTTATACTGAGGCAGTTTGAATCTGTGTTGCACAGCCCAGGTCTCATAGTTGGGATGCCCAACAGCTGACCTTATGCAAAGCCTTATGAAATCCAGCGCTGTGCTACACATGACCAGAAGCTCTCAGAGCAGGTCAGGCTGCAGCCTCTCCAGATGCATTTTGCAGCTCTTATCACTTAATTGCTGAGGAGGAAGTTACAGGGGTGTCAACTGTTGAAACATCGTCCTTCGTAATACAAACGGTCTACACCAATAATTCACATCCTTCTGGCTGACCAAAAGTATCTGATTTCATATCTCCCTCTATGGGAATATCAGCAATTCATAAATGGCTTTTCTACAGAGCAAACAACGAACATTTGCTCAGCTCATTCTCCTAAGTAACCAGTGAACTTAGTGGGAAGAGGGAGGATTCTGACAAGCCTTAAAGATCAAGACAAAAAGTAAAGTCATGATAATCCACTCTGCTTTATATGATTTTTATATATATATTCACTAGTTCAAAGAAAAAAACTCAAATGTTTGTTAGTATTGAAATATTTGCTATTTTTGATCAGACCTGTCAAGTGGGCAAAGGAATATTAATTAATATTAATCTATACATATGTGCTATTGTTTACATGATTGCATCATACTGTGATTCCCTATTTGAGTCTTCTATGATTTTGATTTATCCCTACAATGTGCATCAAGAAAGAAAGAATTCAAAGAATTCAAAGATATGAATATTACCTACAACTCACAATGGCCTTTAATCAATGTCAGTTTGATTCCTTTTGATACTGAGCAATAAATAATAAAGTGATTGAGTAAAACAAAACAAACCTTATGTTGGCTGCATTACGTCTGAGTAAGCATTGCTTCTGAACCAAAGCTTTCATGGTTATCTTTTCTTTGTGTATTTTGTTTTGCCTTTTTAATGGGTTTTTGCTGCTGTTTGATATGGAGATGTAATTTATACCTAATTTAGCAAGAAGCACATACATGAGTCTTACTTTAAGCATGTGATTCATTAGCTATTTGCACGCTTAAAGCTGAAGCACTTTGCTGAATCGAGGACATTTTCCTCAAATTAATTTTGGATGCCTTACTCTGAATCCAGATGAGTATCCCTTTTTTTTTTCCTACCATATGCAGTTTGCAATAGATACTAAATTAGCAAGCAGTTAAAAGAAGCTGGAGTGGAATTTATCTGACGTTTCCTCCGAAAATTTGAACTTTAGGAGATGAATACTGTTCACACTTAATATTCTGCTTAATAAAGAATGTGCAATGGTTGGAAGGAGAATAGAAGTGTATGTTTCTTGGCTTCAGCTGCTATCATTTTCAGTCAGCCACCTCTGAGAGCATTTACTACAGTCATCAGCAACAGACATCACTGAGTACTGCCATTTCAAATCTACAGCACTCGCATTTGCCATATTTAGCAAACCATTTCTAAAGTGGTTCTTCTGTAATGTATGTAGCATGCATAGACTCAGAGTGAAGTTTTGCAGTGCAGCTATCCCAATCATTTGTTTCTGGCAGATCAGATTATATTTTAATCCATTCAGCATCTCGTCACAGCATAAAATTGGCTGCAGAATATTTTCATAAGCGCTAGGGAGATTGACCAACGTGAGCTGAGGGTGAACTGCCTGAGTCGTGATTTATTCCCATCCACAAAACAGCACGGTATCTCTCTCAGCATATCATCATCCTGCTCTAACAACTGGCCACTTTGTCTTGGTCATTTCCTTCAGTCACAGATGCTGCAGTGCATGGTCAGACGCAGGCTCATTGCACCAGGGGGACTAGGACACTTACTCCAACAAACACCACGTGTCTTTAGCACCAGCCTTTTCTTTGTAATTACTGGTTGAGATTCAGTTGACTAAATATTGCACCAAGTACCACTATAGACTGAGGAGACTGCAAGAGTAGTGGGCAGTGACACTGGAGACTTGGAAGAACGATGCCTTATAAAGAAACCTTTGTGGACCATGTACATTGTCCAAAATGGCATTAAGCAGAAATATTTGGAAAATGAATCCTACTCGTTTTTCCTAAATGTATGCAGACAAGTCTGATTTACTGAGCACTCAAATTACATTTCTTTCCCTGAAGGATACTGAATAAATGCAGCTCAGCTTATCAATCTTCTCTCATTTAAGTTCACCATAAAAAAAAAAAATCTCTGAATGCCACAGGGAGTGAAGCTCATCTATTACACTGGAAAAGGCTGGTCACTGTTATCATTCTTCCAAAACTCTATGATGCAATTCATCTAATCTAACTGAAAATGTCTACAACTAAGCTAGTAAATCAGTTGGCTTTCCTCCTTCCCCAGAAAAGAGAGTTATGGGCACTTCAGTATTATGGTCCATGTGACCTACGGAAGCCTTCTGCTTTTGCTTGAGTTTTATTGTGCCTCTCAAGTGCCCATTTCTACGCATCAACAATCATGAGAGCCTTAGCCAGTGGGATGCAGACCTCTGCAGAGCAAAGCTCTGTATCAGGACAGAGGAATTCCTAGCCCTCATTTCTGGACATGTAGGTATAATACATATATGTGAGTATTGTGTGCTTGTTTATGCTTTTTATAACACTTCAGAAGTTACTAGTCATTACTATTAAGAATGAAAAAAGAGCTGCATTTTTGTCCCTGCTTCCTCTTTATAGAATTTCATTTAGTAGCCGGTGGGCAAGAGTGGCCTTCTCAGTAGGACATGTTGCATTTAATACAATATTGAACAATCCTAACAGCATCTTAATTTAAAACACAGAACACAGGAAATATTAGCCTGGCTCTAAGTCTGCCTCCAAGTATAGTGCCTGCCCACAAGTCCTGAAAGCAAAAGTAACACACATTGATTGTAGTCCCAGGAAGGTTGGTTCGAGTTTTCATTTCTTATTTCAAGCATTTCAGAAGAATGTAATCCCAAATTATTATCCAGACTGTGCGCACTGAAGTTGTAAAGCAGGGTGAATACTCTTTCCCCCATGGGATTACATGTCATCACAATGCTGAGTTTTCCATAGCAGGAAAAAATAAAAAATAAAATAATCTGAACGTAAGGGGTATATAAGTTATTTTTAAAACTGTTCTTTATATAGAAAATTGCCATGTGCCTGGGGAATGAGCGCTTGGCAGGCTCACCACAAAGAGGCCCAGAAAATCTCTATCAGGGCTGCGTCAGGTTCTGATGTATGTCCTTTTCTTGAGTAGCTCTAGTAAAATTAACATCACTCATTCTATCAAATAAGATGACATTCGTTTGGTATTTCATATATGTGTACAAACAGACACTACATAAACACAAGGCTAGGTTGATATGCGTATCTCTCTCCATATGTTCATTACATTCACTAACAGTACTTAGTAATGTGAAGCTGAAGGCAAGAGGACATTCCCTTAAAAATCTATCACAACTGATTTTTTTCCTTATCTTAATATTCTCAGCACCAGGTTGGGATGGTTGTCAGCTCCCTACAGGTACTGAGACAGAGAGCTGTACAGGCAGAGAAGTGTAGCCCTGTCAAGCATTAGCTGTGTTAGACAAAGCATATAGCATAAAAACTCAGAGTTATCAGCAAGTGAACTGCAAATGTGCAATGCACTGAGGGCAGTCAAGACACTTGCTGCTCCAAACTGTGTGTGATCTATCCAGCAAAGGTAGGGCTGCATGCTGCATACAAATGGGCAGCCTGGAAAAGGTGTCAGAACAAGATGTAAATCACACTTCTTTGACCCAGGTGCCTCCAAATAATGAGGTATGGAAAATAAAGGATAACTTCTCCTTGAAGACTTGAAAGAGAGGAAGGCAGGAGGAAGAGACTGGGTGCATTCCCAGAGGCTTCAAATTAACAAAACACAACAACAAAAAAGAAGCAGTCAGTCAGTCACACTATGAAGAGAGATCATATATTACCTTCATTAGAATAAAGAAAATCATCGTCTGAGTAATTACTATGCTACCAGTGGCTTTCCAGCTGGTAGGGTCAGAGGTTGACTATATGAAACTGCAAGACTGTGGGAGTTATTTCAGCTTTGCATCACAAACAGGGAAAAACCAAGATGCAGCTGAGTGCGAAAACTGACTTAAAGGACACAGCCCAATAGCAGCACTGAAGCAACCCCTTCAACGTGCCTTGGGTTCCTGCAGCCCTGTCATGGGTGGGGGTCTGGGGAGGATGGCATCAACCCCAGCCTCACACCCTGGCCCCAGCCCTTCCCAGCCTGCCCAACCATAGCTGGCAGAGCCTCTGTCCACCACTTTCCTTTCAGCAAATGGTCGTGGTGTTGGCCAGCCACTGCATGCCCTTGTGCAGGGCAGAAGAAGAATGCCAAAATTACCCCTAGCAAGCAGAAGACAGACAGAGTAGACAGAGTGGCTCTGCTCCCCAAAGCACAGTCTTTCCTGTATGTGTTGCAAAGTGACCACCCCCCGGTACCTCCCTGCAGCACCTCTGTCACCAGCACTCTGGGCATCTCATGTTCTGTCCCACTGAGAAAAGCCTTTCAGGGCCATCTACCCAGTGTTTAACACTCACTCTCTCTCCAAATTCAAGCAGCCTTCCCACAGAAGCACCCTCTGCAGGCGGGTTACGAGCTCTCACTGAAGGTGGGGATGGAGAGAGACCACGCCTGTATGATCAAGAATGGAAGGGGAAAACCAGATGCTACTTATTTTACCCTCTGAGAGAAGTCTGATTCCCTAAGGCCCAAGTGTTATTGGGTCATACTAAATATGGGAAACAAAATAAACTTTTGTGACCAGCTTGTTCATGTTGCTTATTACTCTGTCAACATATTTCACTCCAAAAATGCAACATAAATGCAAATTGCCCTTGCTGTCTCTTGCACTCACTCCACATCCTCATCAGCCACATCCCTGTGTCTTGCAAAGGTCTCTCCTCCCAAGCCTTTCTCCTGTGACCAAAGGCAATACTTCTTCCAGAGACAATTCAAGCTGCAATGGGACATTGCAGACATTGCAAGATGTTGGGTTTGGCTTATCTACATTCAGAGTGCTTAGCAGAAGTTTCCCTGCCACACAGTTCTCGCTATGTGTCTATCAGTGTCCAAGCAGAAGGATGGGAGAGAGGAGCACTGACCTTCATTAGTGCTTTTGTTGTCTGGAATACTGGAGTGTAAAGAGACTGACCTCCAGCTGAGCAGAGCCTGGCCCCACTGACATACCTGTAAGCAGTCAGGTCTGAAAATGGCCAGCACAGCAATTCTTTGCAATTCATTCCTGCTGTGTGGGATCCTTCCTGAACTGTAGGTTCATGCTGAGTATTTTTCTTTCCCTTTCCCCTCTCTCTTTCATTTTCCTAAACCATAAACCTCAGTACACACCTCAATCAGAAGTCACTAGACCTCAAATGGGAAGGAAAATTATTTAACTGGTGGGGCTGAGTGTAATCACACACAGTGGATTTGCTCACCACTTCTCCGTGCTTGCATCCAGGCCTGAAGTACGTTGTCCTACATGAGCAGGCAGACAGGACACTAAGCTGGCAGCATCAGAAGCATGTCTCGCTGAAGCAAGAAGAAGCAAGCCCAGGCTGCTATGGTCCAAGGAGAAGGTTACCCTATAAAAATAACACCATGGCTTCAGCTTCATCCTTAACCATGAATAAGGAACTTCATCCAATAGTAATGGAGCTATCACAGATTTAATACTGTGGTGAGACAACCTTGAAAAGCAGACTGGAGCACATACATCAGTATTTACCTAGTTTGCAGCATTTTACTGCATTATTCTACATATAAGTAGCCCAATTCAAAATTATTCCCTGGCTCCTAGCCATCATCTTACACAGCAGCTCCTGAACTGCTGTAGATTGACTTCCTCTGAGATGTGTATGGTCCTGCGACCTCTAGAGGCCACTGTCATAGGGACCATTAGCACAAATGACAGGCAAACCTGCTTCTCTCACATCCTGAAAAAAAAAAACTCCCAGGAAAGGATAAGCAGTTTAATTCCCATAATATGAAGTAAATGACATTTTCCACCACCTTTCTTAGAAGAGCCAAAGGTCTCACATTCCCAAAACAAAAGAGGGATTTCTTCATGAAGACTACCAAAACCATTTCTGCATTCCTTTTTTTTCCCAGGTCACAGTGCTCTAGGTTTGCTTCTCCAAAATCCCAGGAGCCTTTATTTTGGTTTGCATGGTGCTGGTAAAGATTGCAAAAATATAGTTTGCCTGTCTGTAATATCCCTTCCCTCCTTAAAAAAAAAAAACAAACAAACAAAAAAGCAAACCACATTAACTCAGAATAGCACAGCTGCTGATGTGATTGGATGCTGGAGCAGACAGGTGGTCCTTCTCTGACAGCGCTGTGCTCACTCCTAGTCTTTTGTTACACAAAAGTTGCTAACTGAGAAGGAAAGTCCACAATATCTTGAAGCTCCATTGTCCCAATTAACCCCCCTCATAGATTTAGCACGCTTGTCACATTTAACGACAGCAATTAATGAAACAATCTCCAGTAGGCCAGAGGCAGAGCAGCATCCTGCCTGCACTGCTGCCTCTGCAACAAGCTCCTCTGCCTGTCAGGTCCAGACAGGAATGGCAATCTTTGCTTTAACTCCCACAGAGTGATTCTCTGTCTGAATTAAGCCAGCTTTCCATGATCCGAACTCCTTTTAAACAACACCACCATGGTTCTGGCCTCAGTCCAGCCAGGACAGATCTGGGAGAAAGAGGGAGCAGCACTTCCTGTGCTCTTGTAGCCTTTTATGCTCTCCATGGAAGGCAAAGGCTCAGTGCCTGCTTAGCAGAACCCCAAAAACACAAACTAGATAAGTGCCTCCCCCACTGTCTTGGGAGCAAGGGCTGTCAGTGCTAATGAGGCTCAGAGCAGGTGATGCAATTATCATCTGAGAACATGAGTAGGATGAGACAGATGTTGCTTTCAGGGTTCACTGCTTTATTAGAGACACCTGCTAGCCATTTTGCATGATACCCCCCCTAGCCACACCAGACACAGCTTGTCATAAAATGAGCTGGTATAGCTCAAACCAAAACCCTCTAGGCAATATCAAAGCCATCCTTACGGCTGCCCTTACACTGCGGGAGTCCCAGCAGGAGTTGAAAATGAGATCATAAATCATTTTTAAATAAAATAGATATGCGACTTTTGCTTCATGAGACTCTGCCTCTAAGCTTGTACTTCATCACAAGCCCCTTACTTCCAAACCAAAGTCCTCCTCTCCCCAGCCATGTGGCTTTGCAGCAACCCCAGTACCTTCTCAGTCCATTTCCAGCTCCTCTGGACGCGAAGCTGGATCTCACACCTTTTGCATTGCTGGGACTGCATGAAATCCCAAGTCAGGACATGGGAACAGCCTCTGTCAGCGCTGGTAAACACTTCAGGCAGAAACTCACATTTGCATGAAGCTGCAGAGGAACAGTGACTCCATGCTGATCTGCACACTAGGGATGTGCTGGCTACCTTCAGGCTTGAGGCTGCTGTAAGAAGCGAGTCCCAGCTGATGTTTGCCTGATTGGATACAAGAACTGCAGTCAGAATGATACAGGGAGACCAGGAGTGCAGAAAAACAGCACCTGTGTGAAATCACAGCCAGGCACCTGTTGTAAAGCCTTGCGTGACAAATAATCAACAAATTTGGGGACCTGACTTTGGACTATGGAGGATGATGGGAACCAGGTAGACTGTGTGGAGCAAGTTCAAGTGCAATACCATAATAACAACTGGACTTTATTTGTGCTTGGATCCACCTTCATTCATGCAACCGGGAGCTGAGAACAAATGAGCAGTCTGGATAAAAATCCATTAAAGTGATTTATGGCTGCAAAGCACTTTGAGAATCTTGTACCCAAGGTAGTGCTGGAGTCCAAAGCATGATCTCAACACAGATGTCTGGCAGCAGCAAGAAGCACTTTGTAGATCACCACAGACCAAAATTACTTTAGTTTCAGGGTCATAGACACAGGCATAAAATCACACCTGTAAGATGCATTGTTCCTGCTCTTGGGCTGGGTTGGGGGAGCAGCTAAGATCTTCCTCAAAGGGGGCAAAACAAGCTCACAGTATCAACACACACGAAATCTCTTTTTACCACCAGCTCAACTTGGCAAGAGAAAATGACTCTTCTTATCAGTTGTGTTCATTCATTTAAATATTCCTTGGGTAATTAACACTGAGCACCAGCAGAGTCGGTGTTCCCCGAAGAGCAAAACATTTATTACCCTTCTTGCCTCCCTTCCTGAAAGACTGAGATGAAAGGAAGGTTAGGAGGAGTCTTTTCTGGTTTGTCTTCTTTCTCTTTTGTCTTTCACGTTGGTTCCAGGAATGGAAAGTCATTAATCACCTATTGAGACAGCAGATAAGAGTTGCGTTAGGGTTAGCACGGATTGGAAAAGATCATTTAAGCATGGCAATTAACTGAAATGAGTAAGATGAGGACAGACTCTTTATACAGAACTAAGTAGCAGGTGATAGGTAGCAGATTTGGATTGATATTAAGAAAAATTGAGTGAGGAATCCTGGCTGACAGAAAGAAAAGTAAAAACTGAGTTATGAAAAGAAAAAAAACCAACAATACAGAAATGGAGAAAAATGCTCAAGGTGATAATCCCCAGTTTATTTGTAGCTTTAAATTATTCAAATGGAACCCTCTGGCCCCATCTCTCCTCCTAACCGTGTTAGCCATGTCAGCACTGCGCAGACAAAGCAGTATCAGCTGAACGTCAACCACTTTGAGGCTCCAGAAGAAGGATGCTTCAGACAATAATTGCATTATACATCTCTGTGACAAAGTTTTCTGTCTCTGCTGGACTCTGGAGTCAGTGCAGATATATGCCCTGGACTGCTGCAGCTGCAGGGTTGCATGAGCTCTCATTATGTGTTTGCTGGTTATGTGCATCCTGTCTCCCTACCACACAGCAAGGTTATGCCTGTATGTTTCTGCTTACCTCTTTTGATGTGAAAATCCGCTGTTTGCATAAACAAATGTGTTTTCAATCCGTTTTTTGATCTCTCAGGGATGCCATCCTTTTGATGATGTGTGCTTGCGTTAAAGGCGTACTGTGTATGACAGGGAGCGTCAGAGACTCCACTGCTTGAGCACTATGCTTCTTTAGCAAGCTGCTGCTCACATGCAATCCACCCTGGCCTTCTGGCACTCACTATCCCCTCCACCATATTCCTCACACACCCATGTGTGAATGAAATCCCAGGAAGTTTCTGCTTCCACACTGTTCTCTCAGGTCAGGACGAAGACACTCATTGCTGATGTACAGAGGCAGGCAGTACCACCAGAACACCGTCAAGTTCTGATGCTTTGCTGAAGGAGCTTTCCCCAGCTTGTGGGGAAATGACCTGTTTTGAAGAGCTGACACAGAATAATAATATGATCAGTACAAGTAGGGTAGAGCACAGGTGTTCTATGGTGAAAAGCCTGAATTCATTGGAGTCTCTGAGAGGTATGATTTGTCCAACATGTAAGTCTTTCAGTTTCCATGTGGGTTACTTCTACCTCTTTGTTAAGCTTGCTATATCTGCCCAAGAGACAGTTTCCCCATGGCACATTCAGAGCTGAAGTTTCATTAAGGTAAACAAAATCTCACAGCAAACGTTTCAGTGTTTACACATTGCAGTCTCTGTAGGAGAGATGGCATTAGGAGAACTCTACCTTGTTCAGCAGCAATAGCAACAAGTGCTGCTTCTTAAATACCCAGACCTCATAGCAACGCAGCAGGGCTGCAGCGTGTCAGGCTCTGTTGGCAGGGTCTGCCAAGCTTCACAATGGAGCCCGTTTGGATTTCTGGCTGAGGTCCACTTGCTACAGGCAGAAATCACACTAGAGAGCAGACAGGATCCCAGTTTGTCACCTGAGCAGCTGTCAAAACAAGCTTTTATCTCCGAGGAAAACTGAGGAAAGGAAGGATTTCCAAACGAAAAATTAATTAAATTTGCTGATAATATCAGCTGGCTATGAATTGTTACTCTGTGGGTTAAGAAGGGAAACAGGAGTAAATTTCATTTCAGAGACAACCATGCGTTCAGAAGTCAGAATTTCTCTCTTACTTATTACAGAGCAACTTACAGTCTTCACAGTGGGGCACTGGTACCCAGAATTGTCTTCATCCTCTCTGTGAATCCTGACATCAAGCCATGGAAGGTTTTTGGTAAATACACCTTGGAACAGTCTATTCCAGCTGGTGGTCTCCAGATAAACTAGCAGCCTCTTAGCATCATCCCCCCTTGCACCTTCATCTGAAACAAACTGCTCTGAAAGGGCACCCTTGCCTTTGCAAGAGATGGCAAAATACATAAAAATAATTTACCTCCTGCAGCTGGCAACTGCTCCCTGTGCCACATGTGTGGAGCATCCAGTTTTGATTTTTTTCATTCTTGCTGAATAAAAGGCCAGTTTTAAGATATCTTTGATGACTTCTAATCAAAGTTCAGTATTTGGTATGATAATTTCCTTGTATAAATACCCAGTTCAGCACCTAGCCAGGCTGATCTAAAGCATCAATCTTGAGGAAATTGGAGAAGTTCATAATAAGCTCTCAATCACATTTGCAGTGCAAGATTAACACCATTTCTGCA